CCGGCAGTAGTTCTCCACCTTCTGGCCCTTTAAATACAGTTCCTCATGTTGTGACCCAACCATAAAATTATTTTCGTTGCTACTTCATAACTGTAATGTTGCTACTGTTATGAATCGTAATGTAAATATCTGATATGCAGGATGGTCTTAGGCGACCCCTGTGAAAGGGTCTTTCGACCTCCAAAGGGGTCTCGACCCACAGGTTGAGAACCGCTGGCTTAGAGGCTTTAAAAGAGGCCCCAAGGAAGAGTTTCAAGAAAAGGGAACATTGGTTTACACTGGGATGCGAAAGAAAAATATCCCTGCGCTTTCTGTCTGTCTTTGTGGCGGCCCAGATTGAATAAGGGACTACATCTGCAACAAAAAGAAAGAAAGAAAAGGGAACAGCATAATCTGATGTGTTATCATGTGTATTTCCCTGTGCTGAAACAGGGATATCAGAACAGACAAAGCCTAAAGCCCAAGACATACCTCCTGGAGAAACTTACTAAAATTTAAGAAACAGAAATGTTTTTACCATTTATTTTTCAGTATTTAGTTTAAGAAAACTTGAAGACTGAGAAGTACAATAAACTTCACAATTTCCCCAAGGACTTGGTTGTGTAGAAAAAGAGTAGCAGTTTTCCCCATGTTGGTGCCAGTTGTCCTCACAAGGGTGACATTTCCAACCTAAAGAAAAATTACAGTCAGTCTAAATGCCTCCTGTTAGTATATTTATATGTAGAAATATGGGTGTTTAAGTTGTGAAAAATAAGTTAAGAAGCAATACATAAGTTATATAGACAAAGCCTAAAGGCCAAGAAATACCTCCTGGAGAAACTTACTAAAATTTAAGAAACAGAAATGTTTTTACCATTTCTTTTTCAGTATTTAGTTTAAGAAAACTTGAAGACCAAGTAGTACAATAAACTTCACAATTTCTCCAAGGAGCTGGTTGTGTAGAAAAAGAGTAACAGTTTTCCCCATGTTGGTGCCAGTTGTCCTCACAAGGCTGCAACAAAAAGAAAGAAAGAAAAGGGAACAGCATAATCTGATGTGTTATCATGTGTATTTCCCTGTGCTGAAACAGGGATATCAGAACAGACAAAGCCTAAAGCCCAAGACATACCTCCTGGAGAAACTTACTAAAATTTAAGAAACAGAAATGTTTTTACCATTTATTTTTCAGTATTTAGTTTAAGAAAACTTGAAGACTGAGAAGTACAATAAACTTCACAATTTCCCCAAGGACTTGGTTGTGTAGAAAAAGAGTAGCAGTTTTCCCCATGTTGGTGCCAGTTGTCCTCACAAGGGTGACATTTCCAACCTAAAGAAAAATTACAGTCAGTCTAAATGCCTCCTGTTAGTACATTTATATGTAGAAATATGGGTGTTTAAGTTGTGAAAAATAAGTTAAGAAGCAATACATAAGTTATATGACCAATTATATTCACCCATTTAAAACTGTTGTTCTGTTAACTCAGTGGTTCCCAAACTTATTTGGCCTACAGCCCCCTTTCCAGAAAAAATATTACTCAGTGCCCCCTGGAAATTAATTTTTTTAAAATTTTAATAGCAATTAAACAGAAAGATATATGTATTAATGTTTCTACCTTTTTCGTAAAATATAGTAAAGAAAGGTGTAAATTAGAAACATTGAAGTTTGAAATTATGAAACTATTTATTGAACTCAGAATAGAAAGGTAATACAAAAAAAGTTAAAACAAATGCACCTGTGGCCATCACTGCCCCCCTGGATCACTGCAGCACCCACCAGGGGGCGGTAGAGCCCGCTTTGGGAATCACTGTGTTAACTAATGTGCATAATGCTAAGACATGACTTATGCCACTGTAGTTTAATAGGACAATTATTACTATGTAAGTATTATTGACAACTTCCAAATTTAAGTGTATTTCTAGGATATATGTTTCTGGGTGTCTAACACTGCATGTTATGTGTGTAACATATTTAATTACTTAATTATTGTATATGTATAAATATATAAACACACAGATATTTTTATTTTCTAACTCTTAGGAAAGGTGACCTTGTTCCTAATTACCATGAACTTTTGTCAGTAGTGGGGAAATCGCTGAATTTCCTAAAATCAATTCCTTCTGGTCTGTTTCTTGACTGGAAGTGAGATTTCCTGAACATGGCTCTGTTTCTGAAGACAAAATCACAAATATCAGTGTGGTTTGCCACATGTGCCTGAAGATAAATGTGCTAATCCATAAGCACTTTATTTGTTAGGTGACTACAAATACAGTGGGGCCTTGACTTACGAGTGTCCCAACTAACGAGTTTTTTTGAGATACCAGCCGTCTGTCGGCCGATTTTTTGCTTTGAGTTGCGAGATAAAATTCGGGTTACATACGAGCCAGCTTCAGATACCCCACCGCTAGTTGGCGCAGCGAACGTCACAGTGATTTGACATACGAGTAATTTGAGTTACGAGCTGGGTCACAGAACGAATTAAACTCGTAAGTCAAGGCCCCACTGTAGTAAAAATACATTAGCAATCATATCTAAAAGGCACAATATAATTGGAGGGAATACACACACAAATCTAATAACAATAATACAATCTCATGGGAAAGTTAGCACAATATTGGTAAGATCACAGATTATAGAGAAATTGATTCTGATAAGGAAAACCTGTGGGAAATTTCTCAGAAAAAGTAGTCCTGGTGTAAGTTTAAGTAAGAGAAAGAGATTAACTGGCAGCAAAAGAAAGAGGAGTTACTATTTCATGTGGATGGAATCTTATGAATGATAGAACAAAGTGATGAAAGTTCAAGGTAAAGACATAGTAATTTGATGTGGTTCTGAAAATCACCTCTAGTATAGAGACAATAACATCATAAAAAAATACAAAAAACGAAATAGTGCTGAGGATATTAGCTTAGAAAATAAAAGACCATAACGAGATTCCTTTCCGTGAGCAGTGAGCAAGCTGACTTCTTTTCTCTCATAGAGACTTACTCTTTGTAGTTAAGATTCCAACAGACACAAGAAGTCCCAAGCAGATGATCCCCAGAACCGCTGAAAATAACTTCCATGAAGACTGCGGGGCAGAATAGCCTTTGGAAAGAGGTCAGTAAGTTGCTTCTATATGCTTATTCACAGTTCTTTATTTTTTTCAGTTATAGTTTATATTCAGTATTATATTGTATTATTTCAAGTGTACGGCACAGTGGTTAGACAATCATATATTTTACAAAGTGCCCCCGGCCCCAATCCCTAATAATTTCTGTACCTACCTGACACCATACATAGTTATTACAATATTATTAACTATATTTCCTATGCTGTATTTTACTTCCCCAAAACTATTATATAAGGACCAATCCCTTCACCTTTTTCATCCAGTTCCTTAACACCCTCCTCTCTGGCAACATTCAGCCTCTTCTCTGTATCTAGGAATCTGTTTCTGTTTTGTTTTTGAGTGTTTCATAGTGAAACTCCAAAGACATGTCTACAGGCCTTATCTGGCTGCCAATTCATGTTGTAAAACTATTCTTGAGTTAATGGTCTTGATATTCATTTTAATATAAATGCAAGAATGAAATATCTATTCTCTTTTTAAAATAAAATGTTTAAAAGTTATATGCAATAATTTTATTCAATTAGAAAATTTGAGAAAAGATTAACAAGAAATAAAAAGCCAATTACTGCCCTAGTAGGTTTGGCTCAGTGGATAGACAGTTGGCCTGTGGACTGAAGGGTCCTGAATTTACTCCTGGTTAAGGGCACATACCTCGGTTTCAGGCTCCTGGCTCTGTTCAAGAGCATGTGGAGGCAATCAATGGATTCACACAACTCAAGAGTAAAACAAATATGATTAAAAATTGGGCAGAAAATTGACATATGAAAAAATGCTCAATGTCACTTATCATCAAAGATATGTAAATTAAACTCACAATGAGATATCACCTCCCACCTGTCAGAATGGCTATCATCAATAAATCAACAAACAATAAGTGCTGGGAGAATGTGGAGAAAATGGAACCCTTATGCATTGTTGGTGGGAATGCAGACTGGTGCAGCCACTATGGACTTTCCTCAAAAACTTAAAAATGGAACTGGCTCATGACCTGCAATTCCACTTCTGGGAATATATCCCAAGAAACACAAAACACTGGTTCAAAAGAGTATATGCACCCCTATGTTTATTGCAGCATTATTTACAATAGCCAAGATCTGGAAACAGCACAAGTGCCCATCAGCAGAGTGGATGAAAAAGCTGTGGTACATTAACACAATGGAATATTCTTTGTCCATAAAAACAGGAAATCTTACCTGTTATGACACATGTGTGTTCCTGGAGAGTATTATGCTAAGTGAAATAAGCCAGTCAGAAAAAGACAAATACCATATGATCTCACTTATATGTGGAATCTAATGAACAAAATACACTGAAGAATAAAATAGAAACAGAGCCCTTCTGGGTTTGGCTCAGTGGATTGAGCATCGACCTGCTGACTGAATGATCCCAGGTTTGATTCTGGTCAAGGGCATGTACCTAGGTTGCAGGCTTGATTGCTGGCCATGGTTGGGGCACATGTGGGAGGCAACCAATCGATGTGTCTCTGTCACTTCGATGTTTCTCTCTGTCTCTCCCTTCAACTCTCTTTTAAAATCAATGGGGTAAAATATCATTGGGTGAGAATTATCTGAAAAAACAAAACAAAATAGAAACAGAGACATGGATATATGGAACAGACTGACAGCTATCAGAGGGGAGAGGAGTAGAAGGATTAGAAGAAAGAAAATGAGGGGATTGAGCAAAATATATGGACATATATATGTATAACACAAAGTCAAAGACAACAGTGTGATGACTGCCAAAGGGAAAGAGGGTGGGGGTAGGTGTAAGTGGGCAAAGGGTGGGGGAAATGGGGACTGAAAGAGACTTAGCCTAGGACAATGGGCTCATGAGGCAGTGTGCAGAGGATGCTTTTGATACTTGAAACCTGTATGCTATTTTTGCTTGAACTATATCACAACATATTACTTTCTAATAATTATGATTATTTTAACAGCATTATTCAACCAAGCAGTGCCAATTTCCTTGAACGGTAAGAGAAAGTTTTCTAATATTTGGAAGCACAAATTGCATGTATCTGTGTATACAGGGGTTTAGGCATATATCCAATGCTGCTGACAGGAACGTTTATAAGACAGATCATGTATTATAGAAATCTACACTTGAGACCTATATAATCTTATTAACCAATCTCATCCTAATAACTGTAATAAAAAGAAAATGTAGCCCAAACCGGCTCAGCTCAGGGGATAGAGCGTCAGCCTGCAGACTGAAAGGTCCCAGGTTCGATTCCGGTCAAGGGCATGTACCTTGGTTGCGGGCATATCTCCAGTAGGAGTTGTGCAGGAGGCAGCTGATCAATGTTTCTCTATCATTGATGTCTCTACCTCTCTCTCCCTCTCCCTTCCTCTTTGTAAAAAAATCAATAAAATATATTTTTTTAAAAAAGAAAATGAATTCTTGTATGCAATTCACTATTGCTTTTTAAATTTTATTTTTTACAATGAAGGAGTAATTGTAAGAAGTAGGAAACATAGTTTTGGCATATCTATCTATACATATGTAGAGGTCTGTCAGTGGGTATGACCATAATGGTCTAATATTTGGAATTTTAGAGTTAGAATAAAAAAAGTATTTACCCTGCCTCGAAAAAAAATCTGATATAATGTTCAGACATGTGCAGAATTAATAACATATTCTCCCTTTCTAGAAAGTTACTGTGGCCCATGTCCTAAAAACTGGCTATGTTACGGAAACAACTGCTACAAATTTTTTAATGAGAGCAAGAACTGGTTTCAGAGCCAAGCTTCCTGCGTGTCTCAAAATTCTAGTCTCCTGAAGATATACAGCCAAGAGGACCAGGTGAAGTATTGTTTTAATTCATCTGCCTATTGAGTCCTACCATATGTGGCAACTCTCTGGAATATGAACCTGAAATATAATAGAGGCACAAGGCTCTGACACATCAACTCCATATTCTTCTGTATTAAAAATAAAAAATCACAAAAATTGCAGCTATTATATATGTGTTGTTGAAGTTGGAATTCTGAAAGCGGACTGAATGCAGTTTCCTCAACTGTGGGGAAAATGATTAAATGATTATAGCCTTGTATTTAATACAATTCTGAGAACTGACTTTATTTGTGATTTCAAATAGGATATCTTTAAATTGCTAAAGGCCTACCATTGGATGGGACTAAAAAAGAATTCCACAAATGAAACCTGGCAGTGGGAAGATGGCTCCATTCTCTCTCCTGATCAGTAAGTCTGTACCTATAGGTCTCTAGTTGTGGATTTGCCTCTAAGCTATTCCTGTGATGACTGAACTACCACATTTTCCTTGACAAAATGCCAGGACATCCCATACGCTAATTGAGTCAGTCCAAACTTAGGGCCTAGATTTAGTACATTGGGAAGCAGCCAATACCCATAAAAATGAGTAAAATTAACTGTTAGCCATGTGCTAAATACTGTGCAAGCTACTTGCTATGAACATATGTGTGCAAGACTTTGTATGAGCAGAGACTCTCCTTTTTCTCTTACATAAATACCTAGGAGAGAAACAGATGAACCTTATAATAAATATATGTTTAACTATTTAAGGGACTGCCAGATTATTATTCAAAAGGCTTGTGCAATTTTGCAATCCCACTAGCAGTGTGTGAGACTTAGGAGTTGCTCAACATCTTGGTCAATACTTTTTATGATCAGTTTCTTAAATTTTATCCATTCTAATGTGTATAGTGGTATTTCATTGTGGTTTGAATTTGCATTGTCTTCATGACTAATGATATTGAACATCTTTTCAGTGCTTATTTAACATTCATGTTTCAATTTTTTTTATTTAATTAATTTCTGCTCTGATTTTTATTATCTTCTCACTCGGTGTTAAATTTTCTTTCTCTAGTTTCTTATCACAAAAACTAATATATGGATAGGAAACTTTTCCTCTTTTCTAATCAAAGCATTCATGCTATTAATATTTGAGATTATTTGGTATCATTCCACATTTATAAACTATTTATTTTCATTTTTATTCATTCCAAAATAGTTTCTAAATTCCCTTTTACATTGTTCTCTAATGCATGAAATTTTCAAGTGTTAGTTTATAACATTTGAGAATTTCCCAGAGATATTTGTTATTAATGTCTAATTCCATTTTGATCAACAAACATACTTTGTGACTTGAATCTACTTACAATTATTGATATTGGTTTTTATGGATCAGACTCTGGTCTATCTTTTTTTTAAGGTTGACTCTATTACAGATGTCCCCCATTTTCTCACCCTTTTCCTTTCTCCACCATGCCCCCACCCCACCTGGGCCTTCATCACATTATTTTCTGTGTCCATGGGTTATGCCTACCTATAGTAATAAAAGTGTAATATGCTAATTAAACTGGAGAGCTGAACAACCTTCCAGACATCATCCTGGGCATCCTTCTGGACTAAGCCGAGGGGGCTGGGGCGAGGCAGAGGCGGTTAGGGAAGATCAGGCAGACAGGGGAGCAGTTAGGGGCATCAGGCAAGCAGGCAGGCAGAGGAAGTTAGGGGTGATCAGGCAGGCAGGCAGAGTGGTGAGGGGCATACAACCTTCCAGACGTCATCCTGGGCATCCTTCTGGACTAAGCTGAGGGGGCAGGGGCTGAGGCAGAGGCAGTTAGGGAGGATCAGGCAGACAGTGGAGCAGTTAGGGGCATCAGGCAAGCAGGCAGGCAGAGGAAGTTAGGGGTGATCGGGCAGGCAGGCAGAGTGGTGAGGGGCAACAGGCAGACAGTGGAGCAGTTAGGGGCATCATGCATGAAGAGGCAGTGAGGGGTGAGCAAGCAGGCTGGCAAATGGATAGGGGCGATCAGTTAGGCAGGCAAGTGTTTAGGCGTGATCAGGCAGGCATGCAGAGTGGTCAGGGGTGATCAAGCAGGCAGGCAGAGGGGTCAGGGATAATCAGGCAGGCCGAGTGGTTAGGTATGATCAGACAGGCAGGCAGAGAGGTTAGGGGCAATCAGGCAGGCAGGCAGATTGGTTAGGGATGAACAGGCACACAGGCAGAGTGCTTAGGGGCGATCAGGCAGGCAGGCGAGTGGTTGAGGCATACGCAGAGATAAATACAGAGATGAATAGACCATAACTCCTTTAAAAGCTTCACACTTTAGTTAGAATATAATTATGAATGAATAAGTAAAGTCCATGTAATCCATATTCTCTCCAAAATGTGATGAGAATGGCATAGGAAAACAAATACAGAAATTAAAGAAACACATGAAAGAGTTAGATTATAAAGAATGAGTTTCTAATGTGTATAGATTGAGACCAACTAATAGCTGTTACCAAATATATCTTATTTTTTTTCTCTTATAGTGGCTAGTTGTTTCTGTGTAGACAGAAATAATGATCTCTTCCTTTATAATATGTATATATATAATCAGGCCACAGTCCTTTATTGGTGTCAATTTCATATGAAAGTAGAATAGTCATTCTTTCCTCCTACCTGTTCCTGGCAGAAAACAAATCAGAATTTATTACCTTAATTATATAACTACAAAATACTCTAAATCCTTGAGTGAAATGGATATACATGTATAATTATGCCTAACCACACACACACACACACACACACACACCCTTATGTATGTGTGTATATACTGGAGGATTTTATAATAAAAAATTTATAATTTTTAAATTAAAAAAATTAAATTTTTAAAAGTAAAATTGCATATATCTGAAGAATATTGTACATTTTTCACAAAACATGACAAGAAATTCTGAATTTATTTCTAACCATATATTTCTTTAAAAACATGTTAAAACTTTTATTTCACACTAGAGGCTCAGTGCACAAATTTGTGTACCAGAGAAGTTTCTCAGCCTGGCATGTGGGCTAGGGCTGAAACTGGCTCTGCAACATCCCCCAAAGGATTCCGGATTACAAGAGCGTGCAGGTCAGGCCGAGGTACCCCACTGGTGCACAATCAGGGTCAGGGAGGGAAGCAGGAGGTTGGCCAGCTGGGGAGAGACTGCAGGAGGACTCCAGGGTGTGTCTGGCCCATCTTGCTCAGTCCCGATCAGCCTGACCCCAGCAGCAAGCTAACCTACCGGTTAGAGCATCTGCCCCCTAGTGGTCAGTGCACGTCATAGCTAGCGGTTGAGTGGCTTAGCATATCGTTAGCATATTACGCTTTGATTGGTTGAATGGCTGACTGGACAACCAGACACTTAGTATATTAGGCTTTTATTATATAGGATGGGTACACATATAAAGAGATTCCAGACTTTCTACATTGACTAATTTCTAGTATATAAAAATAGTAGCACCTAATTTATAATAGAATGCAATTTTTACTTTTATTATCTGAGTTGGCTAGATTTCTCTTATCTATAAATAAAAAGGCCAGGCATGTTCCTTAAATCTGCTATAATTATATTATTTCAGTACCTATATATAAATAGTATTTAATTTTTTTTCTGCATTAATGTAATCACACATGTAATTTGTTTTTCTCTCTAATCTAGAATAACAATAGTTGACAATTTACTGTGCAGTTTACGGTTCAAGTTTTCAAGGTTACACAGAGAACTGTTTAACTCCAAACACATACATCTGCATGCAGAGGATTGTGTGAAGAGTTTATTTATAAAATATAAAGGATTTCAAAATAAAAACGCCATTCTCTGACTTTCTTCATGAAGAAAACTCCCAGAAGAAAATGCCACCAATATTTATTATATATTTTTTCATCTAACATGCCACAAACCTTATACTCGCAGCAAATAAAAACTAACAATTAAATACTTATCTTCTGTCACAATGTTTCATTTATTTTTAAATTATTGAGTGATGAATAAATTCATTTTTAAGTTTAATAAAGTGTTAATAATACTTATGGTAGAACTAAATTTTAAACTATGATTTTATTAAATATTCACAAATATTAAGCTAATAAGGCTTTTAAAACTTTCAAACACAATACATTTGAAAATTAAATACACTTAAAGCTGGATGAAGGGTATATGTGGGTTTATTAAATTTTCTATTTTTGAAGTATTTCTTAAAGTTAAAAATAATCCTGGAAAAGTTTCAATGTTTCCTCCTCTTTCTCTTTTTGTTAATTAAATTTATTGGGGTGACATAGAGTAATACAATTATGTAGGTTTCAAGTGTACAATTCTATGATACATCATCAATACATTGTATTATGTGCCCACCACCCAAAGTCAAATCTTCTTCCATCACATATTTGACCCTCTTTGCCCTTTACTACCCTCCACCCCCTTTCCTTCTGGTAGCCACCATACTGTTGTCTACATCTATGTGATTTTGTTTGTTTTTAGGTTTGTTCATTTGTTGCTTTTGGTTTTATATCCCGCATTTGAGTGATTTAATCTCCATATGTTCTCTTCTTACATATACAATAACTAGGGTCTTTACAATTACCATCAAATAACTGACCATTTTTCATATATATGCAATGATTAGAGGCAATGTCAGGTTTTGTTAACTGGAGCCTAGAAAAGAAAAGAATTTCTATTTTTACTAAAATTTATTTCATAGATCAAGTCTATTCTTAAAGGTTACTATGCATTAATTGAAATATAAAGGAACATACATTTCTTTGGCAGATTTATTCATATGTAAATAATAAATAATATGTGTTCCATTCAACTCTTAAGGAAGGAAAATGGCAGAGTAAGGAACTCCAAAACACTGGTCCATTAATGCAATGATAAAGCTGACTACACCTGACTCAAAATTTTCAGAGATCTGGAATCTAATAAAAAAAGTGACAACAAGCAAGTGCTTGCTTAATGAAGAAAAAAGCTTCTATCCTTGGTGAGAGAGCATTTGTTTCATTCACAGTAAATGAACCCAGGTCAGTGTTGCTCAGTTGGTTAGAGTGTTGTCCCTGACACCAAACTGTGCAGGTTTCACTCCTGGTCAGAGGCAGCTGATCGATATATCTCTTCTCTCTCTCTCTCTCTCCCTCTCTCTCTCCTCGGTGAGGATTTAAAAAACAAGTAAATGAAAGAGGGATGCTAAAATTTTTTTTAGTCCTGATTATTATCCCCATGTGCTTGACAAAATAGAATCTTTTATATTTATCTTAATAACATGGTAGGATGAATTGAGTACTTCCTATACATTAGCATTTTAATAAGAAAATTGGTGCTATAAGAGCAGTTTTCAAATTTTGTGTCCGGACTCCTTTCAACTATTAAAAATCATTCCAGAGACCCAAAGAAATTTTGTTATTTGAGATATATCTATCAAAATTTGTCATATTAAGAATTAATTCTATTATAGTAAAAAAGATTCACTCACATGTAACAATACTAAATACATATACATTTTGTGTTAATATAAAAATAATTATATTCCCTCCCCAAATAGTTCCAACATTGTCATCTATACTAATTAAAGGGTAATATGCTAATTAGACCGGGAAACCTTCTGAGAAACCTTCCAGACAAAACCATGGTGGCAGGGCTGAGGCAAAGGAGGTCAGGCCAGCAGGGGAGGGCAGTTGAGGGCGATCAGCCTGGTAGGGAAGGAAGTTGGGGACGAGCAGGCTGGCAGGTGGGACATTTGGGGGTGATTAGGCCTGTGGTGGAGGGAAGCTGGGGGTGAGAAGGTCATCAGGGGGAGCAGTAGGGGGCGAGCAGGCCAGCAGGGGGGACAATTGGAAGCAAGAAGGCCAGTGGGGAGGCCAGTTGGGGGCAATTAGGCCAGCGGGGAGGGGGAGGCAGTTGGGGGCAATTAGGCCAGCGGGGAGGGGGGCATTTGGGGGTGATCAGGCCAGCAGGGGAGAAGTTGGGGGTGAGCTGGCTGGCAGGGGGGCCCAGTTGTGGTCAATCAGGCCAGTGGGGAAGGGCAGTTGGGGACAATCAGGCCAGCAAGAGGGGAGCAGTGAAGGGCCATGAAACTGGCAGGGAAGGGCAGTTGGGGAACATGAGACTGTTTGGAGAGGGCATTTGGGGCCATTAGGCTGGCAAGGGGGGCAGTTGGGGTGAGCAGGCCAGCAGGGGGGCAGTTGTGGGTGAGCATGTCGGCAGTTGGGGGCATTTCGGGGTGATCAGGCCACGAGGCGGGGTAGTTGGGGGCAAACAGGCTGGCAGGGGAGCCCCATTGGCAATGAGCAGGCCAGCAGGGGGGCCCAGCAGGAGAGGGCAGTTGGGGGTGCTCAGACTGGCAGCAGGGGAAGTTGGGGGTGAGAAGGCCAGTGGGGAGGGCAGTTGGAGGCAAGCAGGTTGGTAGGCAGAGTGGTTAGAGGCAATCAGGCTGGCAGAAAGGTGAGTGGTTGGGAGCCAGCAGTCTAGGATTGTGAGGGATGTCCGACTGCCAGTTTAGGCCCAATCCCACTAAACCAGCAGTTGGACATCCCCCGAGGGGTCCCAGATTGGAGAGGGTGCAGGCCGGGCTGAGGGACACCCCCCGACCCATGCACTAATTTCATGTACCAGGCCACTAGTATTTTTATATTTTACAAATCTTCAATTGTCTAGCATAATTGACAAGTGAATTTTTATATTTGTTCAGTGTTTAATCTTCTTTGATATATTATGTTATAATGTTTCTCATGAAAAAATGAAACTGAATGAGAAAATCACATTTCAATATTATTTTGAACATAGTTTTTCCTTCATAGTCCTCTCATAAGTGTCTTTGTACATTATGTAGTAAGTTATTATGGCTCAGAGAAATAAAAATTAAGTCAATACCTAGAAAATCAGCTGGTTTCTATTGGAGTGTAAATCATTAGCCACCATACTAAACATCTTTGTTATTCATTTCTAAAGGTCAAATATATTAAGAGTTCTATGTGAATTGGGGTAATCAGTTAAGGTTTAATAGAAAACTTCACATCGTGGAATTTAACATCTAATTATATGCACACTAGATAATTAGGTAATATTGCTGTTCTGGGACTGGTGTTTCAAAACAGCCAGAACAGCACAGCTGGTGTGGCTTGGTGGTTGAGGTAAAGGTTCGATTCCCGGTCAGGGCACATACCAGGATTGCTGGCTCAATCTCCAGTGTGGGGCAAGCAGGAGGCAGCCAATCAAGGAGTCTCTCTCATCATTGATGTTTCTCTCTGTCCCTCTCCCTTCCTCTCTGAAAACAATAGACATATATTTAAAAATAGACTAATAGGAAGATACTTACTTGTCCAAGGTAAAAGCTGAGCCATCTTGCCAAGCCCATTTCCGTTCACTGCTGTTGTAATATAAACTGATCCAAAACTTTTCTGACCCAATATGACATTGCTTCATTGAAAAATTTTGTACAAAATCCTGGAAAGAATGAGAACAGGAAATAAATAAATCTGATACCTTTGGTTGCTTGTCAATACATATAGAAATTAAAACTTTTATTTACTTTATTAAACATGTTCATTTTTTATCTGAAACAATAACTATAGTAAAAAATGCTCTTGGGATTTTTTGACAACTCTCTAATAACCAATAATTTATTCATTCATCAAACAACTATTATGGAGTCCTCATAGTACTGTGAACATTGTGCTGCATATTGAGAATTGAAAGGCAGTAAATAGACTTGATACTTGGGAATTTAAGAAAGATGCAAACCAATTAAGTAAGCCATTGCTACAAAAGGAAAAGTACCGGATAAAACGAGAGGATTTAACAGGAACTCCTTTAGGACCAGGTGATCAAAATAAAAAGTTTAATACTGTAGACATTTTAGGATAAACCATAAAAGTAAATAGGCACTTATTAGGGTGAGGTTACAAAGGGGTTGAGAAGAGGACAGTAAAATTGTGAGAAGATTGAATTAAACTTTAATAAGTACATAAGTGGAGTATCTACTAGTATATATGTAAAAAGCCAGTGAACAGAACACCATAACAACCTGAACGACCAGTTGCTATGAGGCCCAGTGTGGCCAGTGAACTGGCCTGATCAGTGGGTGGGCCAGCTGGCCAACTTCCAGTGGCCCCTCTGCCCAGCCAGCCACCCCTGATGCCCCTTCCACCCCATTAGTGGGTGGGGCTGGCCAGCCAGATCTCACCCATGCACAAATTGGTGCACTGGGCCTCTAGTGTTAAAATAAGTGGGTAAGGAAGTGGAAATGATAAAAAGTTATTGGTATCTAGGAGGCTGTAGAGATAGGCAAGAGTTCAGAGGTGAATAAAACTTGCATGAATATATGGCTTAGGGAAGTGGTTCTCAACCTTCTGGCCCTTTAAATACATTTCCTCATGTTGTGACCCAACCATAAAATTATTTTCGTTGCTACTTCATAACTGTAATGTTGTTACTGTTATGAATCATAATGTAAATATCTGATATGCAGTTGGTTTTAGGAGACCCCTGTGAAAGGGTCGTTCGACGCCAAAGGGGTTGCGACCCCCAGGTTGAGAACCGCTGGCTTAGGGGCTTTAAACGAGGTCCTGAGGAAGAGTTTCAAGAAAAGAGAACAGCATAATCTGGTGTGTATCATGTGCCTTTCCCTGTGCTGAAACAGGGATATCAGAACAGACAAAGCCTAAAGCCCAAGAAACACCTCCTGGAGAAACTTAATAAAAGTTGAGAAACGTATACTTGTTTTTACCATTTCTTTTTCAGTATTTAGTTTAAGAAAACTTGAAGACCGAGTAGTACAGTAAACTTCACAATTTATCCAAGAATTTGGTTGTGGAGAAAAAGAGTAGCAGTTTTCCCCATGTTGATGCCAGTTGTCCTCACAAGGGTGACATTTCCAACCTAAAGAAAAATTACAGTCAGTCTAAATGCCTCCTGTTAGTATATTTATATGTAGAATATGGGTGTTTAAGTTGTGAAAAATAAGTTAGGAAGCAATACATAAATTATATGATCAATTATATTCACCCATTTAAAACTGCTGCTCTGTTAACTAATGTGCATAATGCTGATATGATTTATGTCACGGTAATTTAATAGGACAATTATTACTATTAAGCATTATTGACAACTTCCAAATTTAAGTGGATTTTTAGCAAATATGTTTCTGGGTATCTAACACTACATGATATGTGTGTAATATTTTAAAATACTTAATAATTATATATGCATATAAGTAAACAGAGATATTTTCATTTTCTAACTCAGGAAAGGTGACCTAGTTCCTAATTACCTTGAACTTTTGTTGGCAGTGGGGGAATCCCTGAATTTCCTGAAATCAATTCCATCTGGTCTGTTTCCTGACTGGAGGTGAGATTTCCTGACCATGGCTCTGCTTCTGAAGACAAAATCACAAATATCAGTGTGGAAGATAAATGTGCTATTGCATAAGCACTTTATTTGTTATGTGACTACAAATAGTAAAATTTCACTAACAAAGATATCTAAAAGACAATATATTGAAGGGTATACACAGACAAATCTAATAATAATAATACAAGTCTGATGGGAAAATTAGCATAATATCAGTGAGATCACAGATTATAGAGAAATTGATTCTGATAATAAAACCTGTGTGAGATTTCTCAGAAAAAGTAGTTCTGGCGTAAGTTTAAGAGAAATAGGTTAACAAGCAGCAAAAAAAGAGGAGTTGCTATTTCAGGTGGATGGAATCATATGAATGAAAGGACAAAGTGATGAAAGTTCAAGGTAAAGACATAGTAATTTGATGTAGTTCTTAAAATCACCTCTAGTACAGAGACAATAACAACAAAAAACAAAATGGTGCTGAGAATATTACTTTAGAAAATAAAAGACCACAACGAGATTCCTTTCCATGAGCAGTGAGCAAGCTGACTTCTTTTCTCTCATAGAGACTTACTCTTTGTAGTTAAGATTCCAACAGACACAAGAAGTCCCAAGCAGATGATCCCCAGAACCGCTGAAAGTAACTTCCATGAAGACTGCGGGGCAGAATAGCCTTTAGAAAGAGATAAGTAAATTGGTTCAACATTGGCTTCTATATGCTTATTCACAGTTCTTTAATTTTTTTCAGTTATAGTTTACATTGAGTATGATTTTATATTAATTTCAGGTGTACGGCATTGTGGTTAGACAATCATATACTTTACAAAGTGCCCCCCCACAATAATTCCAGTACCTACCTGGCACCATACATAGTTATTACAATATTATTGACTATATTTCCTATGCTGGAATAAATGTCCTCTGGTTTGAAAAAAAAGGGAAAGAAATCCAACCACTAAGTGTTTCACTCAGAAGCATACCACCATCATTTTTCTTGACTGTGTCTATTTTACCTAGTTAAAGCCATTTTTACTGCTTACCAGGCCATGACATTCCTAATAAATGTTTTTAAGTTAACTGCATAATATTCACTCTCATGTATTACATATCATAATTTTTTACTATTTTTCTCTTTTTGGACATTGAGGTAATTTCTATAGGTACAATTCAGTCCCTATCACAATGGAATTTTTTACAGAAGTAGAACAAGCAATCCTAGAATTAGTATAAAGCCACAAAAGACCCCAAATAGGCAAGGCAATCTTTTTTTTAATATGTTTTCATTGATTTTAGAAAGAGAGGCAGGGAGAAGGAGAGAGAGAGAGAGAAACATCGATGCGAGAGAGAAAGATCAATCACTCTACCAGGGATTGAAACCACAACCTGGGTATGTGCTCTGACTGGGCATCAAATTGGCCACCGTTCAGTGCATGTGACAAAACTCAATCAATTGAGCCACAACATCCAGGGCTAGGAAATGCTTTTGAGAAAAAGCAATAAAAAAGACAAAAAGTTGGAGGCATCATGCTTCCTGATTTCAAACTATAATACAAAGCTATAGTAATCAAAACAGTATGGCACTAGCATTAAAAAAGATATATAGATTAGTGGAACAGAATAGAGTTCCCCAAAATAAACCCATCTGCTTATGGTCATTTAATATATGATGAAGAAACCAAAGATATGCAATGAGGAGTAGTCTTTTCAATAAATGGTGCTAGGAAAACTAGACAGCAACATGTGAAAGAATGAAACTGAAGCACTATCTTATACCATATACTACAGCTACTACACAGCCAAGGAAACCACCAAAAAATTGAAAAAGGAACCAACTATTGTGGGAGGAAATATTTGCAAAGTATATATCAGATAAAACATATAAAGAATTCATACAACTCAAGAGCAAAACAAATATGATTAAAAATTGGGCAGAAAATAGACATATGAAAAAATGCTCAATGTCATTTATCATCAAAGAGATGTAAATTAAAAACACGAGATATCACCTACCACCTGTCAGAATGGCTATCATCAATAAATCAACAAACAATAACTGCTGGAAGAATGTGGAGAAAATGGAACCCTCATGCATTATTGGTGGGAATGCAGACTGGTATTGCATTCCCACTGTAGAAAACAGTATGGAGTTTTCTCAAAAAATTAAAAATGGAACTGGCTTATGACCAGCAATTTCACTTCTAGGAATATATCCCAAGAAATACAAAACACTGGTTCAAAAGAATATATGCACCCCTATGTTTATTGCAGCATTAGTTATAATAGCCAAGATCTGGAAACAGCAGAGTAGATGAAAAAGCTGTGGTACATTAACAAAATGGAATATTCTTTGGCCATAAAAAAGGAAATCTGGAGAGCATTATGCTAAGTGAAATAAGTCAGTCAATGAAAGAAAAATACCACATGATCTCACTCATTTATGGATAATAAGGACCATTATAAACTGATGAACAAAAACAGATACAGTCAAACTACAGCCAGAAGTCTGGGGAGGGTTGGGGGCAGAAGGGGGCAGTAAGAGATCAACCGAAGGACTTGTATGCATGCATATAAGCATAACCAATGGACATAAGACACTGGGGGGTAGGGGAGGCTTGGGGATTGTCAAGGGGCGGGGGGAAGGAGACATATGTAATACTCTTTGTAATACTTTAAGCAATAAAAAAAAGAATTTTTTAAAAAAGGAAATCTTACCTTTTATGACACATGGGTGGTCCTGGAGAGTACAGTGGGGCTTTGACTTACGAGTTTAATTCGTTCCATGACGGAGCTCGTAACTCAAATTACTCGTATGTCAAATCAATTTTCACCATTACAATGAATTGAAATGCCATTAATTCGTTCTGGACACCCAAAAAACACCGCAATTGTTTTGTTAAATGTTTTTAAATAAGAAAAAATTTACTTAAAAATAACGAATATTGTATAAAAACACAATACTGAACAATAGAATGTAGTGCAATAAACTTGTTTTATTAAGTTTAATGTACAGCATTTACCTTGGAGATCAAACGACTTAAAGATGCTGATGGAGTTGGAGGAGAAAGGCTGAACTGAATAACTGAATAACTGAATCTTATTTGCTG